CTCCTGGAAGCCAGAGAGGAGTCGGTGTCTGCATTAACCAAGAAGAACTGTACACATGAAACGTATCATTATTACAAAAAGGTACCTTCAAAGATTTGAATGAAATTAGCTTCCTTCTGCTATTTTTCCTCTTTTATGTTTCTTGACTCATGTTTACTCTTGTAATATTTCCCATCTTGATCTGTTTTTATTTAGCTTGTATTTACATGGAGAAACTTAAAGCTTTAGCATCTAGTGAGGAGGTTTCTGCTGCAATCTAAAAATGATTAGATATCAGAGTGGAGGATGATGATGGATGTGACATAATGCAATGATAGCTGTGTATCTATTTCCACCAAGGGTAGTAAAACAAGAAACTGCTGGTAAATACTTTAACTTTTTTTCTGTTTAAACCTTTATGAGATGGTCAAAGGTAAAACATTTAGTTATTGTTGCAGTTCAGATTTCCCCCTGCTCACGGCATCAACAGAAAACACAGGTTACCGTCAGAGAGTAAATTTGCTCCCAGAATTAAAATAGCACCAATATACCCTTATACCCTTATACCCTTATACCCTATACCATACCAATATACACTTGACAAGTTAAGACACACACCTCAGCAGCATTTTACTTTTTAATCTTAATAGATTTTGACACTTTTTAACTGGACTAGAATTACACACGGCATCCATAATGCTAGGAACAAGACCCACCGCTCCTGCAATGAAAAGCACATATTATTTGTTCCAAAAATGACTAATACCTTTACTTGAGCAATTCCTCATCTAACTGCATGAATGTTATCAAGTGAAAAATGCATGCAAAAATAAAATCCTGTGGACAGGATTTTCCACGCTCATGATCAAAGCCTGATTTTCTTTTACTCCGGATTCAGCCTTCACCATTTTTGTTTGTTTCAACTCTACACTTGTATAACTGCAGCCTGTCGGCTTGCATTTTATGCATGATTTTAGTTTTATAACAAGCTTGTGATCAACAATATATTGGATATATATGTTGACGATTTAATATGATTAAAAATATGTACTGTATGTACACTTCATTCCTGTTTATATATACTCAGTTATTCTCATAATGTCTGCATATTATAGTCCAGCTAGAACATAAATTGCTCAGTTTGAGCATGGTTAAAGAATTTATTTACAACTTTAGACAAAAAGGTTTATCAGAGAGATAGAACACTAATATGTGGAACCTTATTCTAGTCATTTATGTTTGTGAATAGCTCATAATCTTTTGTTTTATTCAATGAAACCTGTCACTTAGGTTTCAAGGAATGAAACACTGTTTATGAATATACATGAAATAGAACTACACTGTAGTTTAAACTTTAAGATGCAGCAACTGTACAAACTAAAATACTCAGAGTATACTTTTACATAAAGTAAACTGCCTTTTATAATCTTTTGCTGTTTTTACATATTGTGTTGAATTACATTTGAGTCATCTGCTGATACATTAGCTTTTTAATGAAACTGAAATTACATTTTTTAAATCTAATAAGGTGAAGCACTGTTAACCTTTTAGTCGTTGTTTGTAGAAACTCTATCAACCACAGATTCAGAACTATAGTCACTGAAATTATATACCACTGAACTTTCTGCACATTTCAGCTAATATTAGCTTATCCACTTTATAAAATTTGATACACTGTTATTTGGAAACTTATATACATTTCTTTAGCTTTTTATTAGTGGGCACTGTATAAACAAAGATTTTAGCTACAAGATATAATGGTACCACTTTTGGCTCCCCTTATAGATGGCTAATAAATAGTTTATAGATATGTTATTAATTCCTCTATAAACACTTTATAAATCATTAGTAATTGTTTATTATGCATTAGTTAAGGGTGACAGAGAGACAAAGCTGACCAATTTCTTGCCAAATATTGAGCCATATCTGTTCACCTATATATTTCTTCTAGAGTTGTTTTGTTAAACATTTCAAACTAAGTTACTACCTTGTGAGCCCAATAAGCTTTTGTAAACCTAATTTTTTAGCATATAATATTGTACATTATTGGTGCATTATAAGCATCTATAGTTGCATAGTACCTTGTGCTCACAAGGTAGTAACTTAGTCCAAAATGTTTAATATAACAACTCTAGAGGAAAGTGGCAGATTTGTCTCACTATTTGGCAAGAAACTGGTCAGTTTTGTCTCTTTCTCACCCTCAATTAATGCATAATAAACAATTATTAATGATTTATAAAGTGATTGTAGAGAAATGAATACTGTATCTATAAACTATTTATTAGCCATCTTTAAGGGGAGCCTTTTTGTAAAGTGGTACTGATATAATTTGTTTTTTATGAACTGTACTATAAACAATTAATAAAATTATTAATGGGGAGTGGTGGCGCAGAGGTTAGAGAAGGCGAGCCTGTGATCGGAAGGTCGCCAGTTCAATCCCCTGAAACTACAACATAAAAATATGGGTGGGAAAGGTGAAGCACCCACACCTGCTTCCACCTTCATTTGCCCCACTCTAGGCCCTTGAGCAAGGCCTTTAACCCCCACCATCTGCTCCCCCGGGCACCCTACATGTCAGCTCTCTGCTCCACACAGAGGGCTGTGATGGCTCAGTGGTCTGTGGTTGCATCAGGAAGGGCATCAGGCGTTAAAAAAAGCATAGTCCATGTGAGTTAGTTCGCTGTGGCGAACCCTAAGGAAGGGAGCAGCCGAAAGAAAAAATACTTTAAATTTATTAGTTCTTGTTGAACTGTACAGTATTTTACATCTGATGAAAGCTGATTAAAGGTAACTGATTTTTTTCAAACAAACTCTTCCAGACAAGCCCCCCACACACCTCACCCTTCACACACACGTGTAATAAAATGCATATGTTGAAAAAAAATTAACCAAACAAGATACAGTGTAAAGCTGTTTTTAATGCTTTATCAAGTTCAAATGTATATAAATTAAAAGTTTTGAAGTTAATGAATTGAAATTTACCAAAACAGTTTCTCACAAATGTCATTTGTAAAACACACATTGAAGTTATACCTAATTATAATCTGATATCATTTGTCAGTATTTACCTCTTGTTAGAATCCTTTAGAACAGACCGTACATGTTAACATTGCTCTGTTTATGTAGAAGCTCTTAGGTTTTAACAGGGTGCACCATAAAGACCATTTGTGTTATTGTCTTTCCTTCAGGAGCTGATGACTGAGCTAATTCGCTTTAGTTTTTTAATGCACTGGGGAACACATTGCCGAGCAATGATAAGCTTTGTAGGAAGAGTGGAGAGATGGAGGGGGAAGAAAAGCAATGGCATCTATCAGAATTTAAACCCCTTTGCTTGAAACTGTGTTCAAATAATAAAGCAAGCAGCATGTCTTTCCAAGAGACTAGGAATAATTTCTGGTTTCTGTGGGGGGTTCATGACTTTGTGTGTATGTGTAAAATATGTCTTGAGGGGATTGGTATAAAGTTAAACTGGGTGAAGTAGAAATATTTTACTCATCAGCTTTGCAGTCACAGAGTTTGCCTCGGCTAGAACAAAACTGCTGAAGCATTTAGAGAAAATTAACCCCCCATCCTGGCAGCCAGATGTGACTGGATTCTGATGAGTGCACACGAGTGGGCAGAGAAACCAAGAGACTGTGAAATTCCTGTCAGGCCCGTGTACTGCAGAATGGGCTATTGACTGCTTTCTCTATTCCCCTCCATCATTCTTCTTGAACACTGCCATTAATTTCCTCTCCTGCCTTACCAATTCCTTTTTTCTGCCTTCTCTCCCCCCAGCTCTCTTTGTTCCAGAAGAGGATGCACAAAGCTTTGGTAAAATACTTAGAACAACGCAACCTCTACAGCCTGGCTGAACTGGACCAGTGCCAGGTTCTTGCCCAAGAAACCACCCAGAAAATAAAAACAGCCCAGGTATTTGTACATATACACATCGGCTGCAAAACTGCAACAACTCCACCGTTCGTTTAAAAAGCAAATCCCTTTATTCAACTTTCATCCCAGTGTAGGTATTCTAACAGATGGTAGCATATTCTTTTCCATACTACAGTAACTCCATGTTATGCTCAGCATTGTTTGAGCCTCATCCAACTAATCAGTTGTCTTATGTCTTCTTTGCCAAGCAAGAGCAGTCAGGCAAACCTTCACCACGGTGTCACGCCTCACCGCTGTGGTGGAGTTAAAGACGCCTCTTCTACATTAAAGCCTATATGTTCATCAAATCACAGACTAATATGATTGATTATAAGTGTGCAACGTTGCTTATTGAGTTTGAGGCTGGGTCTCTAAATAACTATAAACACAAATCATATCTGGCAACAATGCATTTGAGTTTGTTTTCTGTTTGCCAGTAGTATTTTTGATTATCATGGTACACACGGGATGCCTTAAAACTTTGTTCTTTGTGAGTGGAACAACTTTGTGTCTGTTTTCCACAAGAGTAAGAGCATATTCTGCAAGGTTGAAAAGTAAGGCTCTTCAATTAGAGGATAATCGGTGTCTAATCTGTGCTGTGATGTGCGGTGAGGTCAAAGCGGACAGAGGGAGAGTGATGAATCTTTATGAAATGTCCTGAGCCAGGTGGCATGCAACCGTATCCTGAACCATTTCCTCTTTTTACTTAATCTTTGTCTTAACAGTCACACATCATGTATCTGCAGGTAGTAGTGCTGATATGTGCACATGCAGATATGTTAATGTGGTATACCTTTTTTGGTGCAGCTACTATGAGTACTATGAAGAGGTTTCCTTTTTGTGATGGGTTCGTTCCTGACATTACAGGGAGCAGCCATTTCTCAGCAGCCCAGCCTCAGAAGGCCCCAGCAGATCACTGCTCAAGGCAGGGAGTAGTGGGGCACAGGGGGAGGAGCTATCAGAGAACTGCAGAGTGTGAAGGACAAAAGAGCTGGTGTATTCAAGCGCACCGCACCGTCACCCGTCACAGCTCAGCACAGGTTCCATCAGAGCAGGCAGCACTCACTTTAAACAGCCTCCTCGAGATGAGTGCAGAACAAGATCTAACCTCCAAAATATATACACAGAGAAATAACCATTTAAAGTTAAAGGAAAAAAAGACCTTTACAAGTTTATGAACGTGCATAAATGCACACACAGCACAACTTCCTAAATATTAAGACCTTGAAACTGAGTTGATTGATGTTTTGCCTTGGAAGTAAGAAGTGAATGCAATGTGTACTCTGAGAGGGGCAAAACTGAATGCAAAGACTTTAAGAACAGTCACATTAAACAGATTATCAATATCAGTTTCCTGTTTATAGGAAAGAAACAAAGAACTCAATAAAACTGTAACTGCAGTTAAACCAGGCTGAGTCCTGATGAGGCCTATACTAATCCATCATGTCCACTTAACCTCACAAGCAGAACACAAGAAAGGTCAAGTTAGCACTTACAAACGCCAAACAGCAGTTTTCTCAAAACTAGCTTAAGGGAAGGAAGGCAGGGGCACCCAGGGGTGGGGTGTAGGAGCAGAGGGGTGGTGGGCTGTCATCCTGTTACACTCCTGCCAGAACTGGCAGTTCAGCTTTGTGTTCTGCGCGTTTACACTAGGGATGGCATAATTGACAATGGCTAACAGCAGAGAGCAGTGCAGAGCCTTGTTGAATGGCCAGTAATGATTGGAGCAGACGCCCACTACCCCAGTCCCGGGGGACAGTAATCCAAGATCCTGTTTCTGATATAATTGTTAGTCAGAGAATTTCTGCATGGCCAGGCTTGTTCAGATTCCCAAGCTGGTTGACACTGCCAGGCGGTTTAATAGAAAAACTGGATGCTGAGATTTTTAAAACAGAAGAGCACTGAACCTGGGCGTAGTTCACCAGGAGTGTTGAGCTGCTTCCTCACAAAATAAGAACTAGGTGGCAAATTTACTCTCACACTGGCAGACACATGTGTGGGATGCACATACAGTAAATTGAAGATTTGGTGTTTGTAACTTTATACAAATAAGCCTGTTCTCATTTATTCTGCTTGTCTCTTGTTCAAACAGGATGAGCTGTCAGAGGAGGTCCAGCTCATCTCAGTATTCCTAGAATCCCTGGGATATGGTTCTACTACCACAGATGATACTGGGAACAACAAACAGGCCTTTCCAGATGCTTCCGGATTGAAAGGATAGATGCCTTCAGTTCAAACTGCAGTGTAATTGGACACTCACCTGTACCAGACAACTTACTTATCTTAGCATGCTTCACTATCCCCCCCTCTTTTTACTTGCAGCAAATCCATAACAATGAAACAGGTGACTTTCATGCTGCTGTCAGGACTGATCTAATTTTAGCTGGGTGAATGATTGCAATTGGCTTTGCCTCATCAGATAATTAATCTATGTCACCATTAATTGGAAAAGAGAATAATTACAGGCAGTGTTGACAGAAATTCTACGCTTCTCCAGATTCCAAGATCTAATTACAACTAGTGAAACCTCGTGACCTTAACTAGCACTTAGTACACCTTGGTCACTTTGACCATACCCATGAGGAAAATAGCGCTTTAGGAGGGAGTCCTGTTGTTATGGCACCCCTCACTCCTCCACCGTCTTCATTCTCTGAAAGCTGTCTCCCTCAATCACTTTTCAATATTCAATCTTAATTTTGTGGAAGTTTAGCATTTTCAATGAGCTGGAGATGAATGATTAATGAATAAATTTAAATGCTTCATTTTGTCCATGGATCATTAGTTAAGTCCTTTGTGGGAAGGACCTGAGAAAGGAGTGAAAATTATTGAGACATTAGCCTGGAGCAATCCAGGGGTAAATAGTGTGCACAAAAGGATGTTGTGTGCGCACTATCCACTGGTTTTCTAAAGAACCCTGGGGAAACTCTATTTTCAATTTAGAATCTTAACCGAATCACATTTACTTCTTGTAGAAAATTGATTTTTTTTTTGTTTCATAGTATTTCAACAGTCATACCAATGATACACAACACATTATATGCTGC